TAGCGATTTTTTTGAAAATTTTTTTAAAAAAATTTCTCAAAACTATTTAAAAAATAAGAATAACTTACATTGCTCCAATTGTAATAAAACGATCGAATTTTTCATAAAACAGTAAAAGCTGTTGTATTAAAAATGAAATATTTAAACACTCACGTTTTCACTTAGAGATTATTTATTGGACGCGTTTTGATGGCTGTCCAGGCCACCATCCACTTCTCCTACATTTCTCCGTTTTTCATTTAATCATTTTAGGTGTCAAAAATACTTTCGGATTCTTCCAAAATCTGACCGCGAATCATACGGAGACATATGACACCAACGGATCTCGTGATTTCACACGAGGAATTGAATTTTACCAGCGTTTGTATATTCTCTTTCAGTTGCAACAGGACGTATTTATGCCAAAAGAAACTATGTGCAAAAGCTTTGCGTGCGTAACATAGTTCCTTTTAGCGCGGCTATGTTCTACTGTAACGATAGGTTATACATCTCGACCGTACTCGCAATATTAAGCCTCATCCCCAATTGCGTTCCGCGAAGCATTATTTCCTCTTGTGTATTATCTCTTTGGTCAAGAAACGAATCAATTATTCGTCATAAAACTTTCTGAAGCCTTCCATTAGATTCGAGATTCCTTTTTTTATGAATATTTATTAGCACATCTTTGTAAATACAAATTTAGCACTTTTAGTTTAAGTATATAATACATAATATCTTAGTGATAGTTAACTACTGATGATAAGAATGAGTGAGATGCGCAGGAGATGAAAGCATGAGAAGAACTTAAACTCGAGATTCCAAACTCACACAATTCTCAGTCAGAATGTAGCTTTATATTGCGACCACAAATTGTTACATCCGTTCATTTTCTGCGGTAAAAATTTAAAAAAAAATACCTTTTTCGGTAAAAATGGCAAAAGCACTTACAAACGTCTCAGGTGAACGAATTCTCAGGAGCGGGGTAGCAAAAGTACAGGAAGCGCACTACAAACACGAGAGGGGGATGGGATATTGTGGCGCTATGTTTGCCATGTCTCCAGTATAAGGCAATCACCCTCTGTATACGCAACAACCCTCATTAAAATAAACAGGCACCAACAGCTACGCCCACCCTCCCTTGAACAAGCCCCCTGACAACTCTCCCCGTATTTGTCTTTACGAATCCTTGTCGTCCTCTTGGGCAAGTTATGACGCGAGTTTTTCAGACGGTGCGGACATCAAAATTATTCATATTTTTGACTCTTTTATGACGGGAAAAAGAAAAACAAACACACTTTCTGTAATGAGGCTCCAAGAAAAAAGTACAGAACTATAACTTCTTTCCCGTTAGAATAATGAGGATAGACCTTGCAGCAAACGGCAAAATATGGGTCATTCATCATTGTATTTCTATTACGGAACTTTGCATGGGAAGCACTGTAGGCAGTCAAAGAAAACTTGGGCTGATCGAATTTTCTATCATTAATTGGACTGCATTTTACAACATGAAACGACGTATGTACCATTCGTTCCCCTATGCACTTAAGTTGTTTTTATGGAGGGCAATTCATTGTAGTTTCTAATTGCAGTCCATTTATATGTGGTCATTAAGCGCCGCCGCGCCGCGCGCAGCGCAACGTACGTATTTCGGCGCGATTAAGAAAAACCGGGCGCCTTCAATTTTTTCGATGCATCACGCGCATCCATGGAACACGAATAGTTGTATCCCGGCCAGGCGCTGTGGTGAACTTCGACTCTTTCCGCGCATCCATCGGTTGTGAAACGACTTTAAGTTTTTACTTCAATCCAATGACATCATGTCGTTCGTTGTTCTCGATTACATTACTGGCAAGGGGAGGAGGGGTAATGTTCTTACATGAGCGTCACTGGACACCTCATAATTAAAAACGGAAAAATGCCAATGTAGCAAATGAAACTCGATTTATTTCAATCCATCACATATGGCAAGCCTGTTTGTTAGGGATTTTCTGCTGTCTCACTCCCTCTCTTGTATATCCCTGGAGGCTTTCGCGCTGGTACATGTCCCTGTCCCTCCCATGTTCGACGTTGCCATTTCTTCAAAATTGTCTCCTGAGATTGGGGGAAGACCCAAGCATTTATTAACAAAATTGGCAACAGCCTCCCCTCCCGTTTTACTTCAAACATGCATTACGATTATAACACTGTTACTCATCGCCGTAAGCCACATCTGTCAAATCGTAATTGATTGATCAATTTCTCTGCAACGAATGAGCCTCACAGGATATTGCCCGCATTTTGATTTGGCTCAACGGCGGGTCGATTCATGAGTCGTTACGGAATTATATCGATCGATAAATAACATTGTTAAGATACGGATGTACCCATCGAGATACATCGATAACGATTCGAGAATCGACCCGAAATTGAATCGGTTTCTGTTTGACAGGCGTAAGTCCAAAAACTCATGAGCCCTTGCTTTCGTTAATCGAGCAGGACGCTAAGGCTCATGACGTTTTGGACTTACGTCTAACAGAAACCGATTCAATGGAGGTTAGTGCCGGACAAGATCGACAGAGGGAGGTAATCAAAGGCCCCTCCGGAAACTGATGTTTTTTCGCTTTTCAAGTTTTATTCGATGGAAGGAAATAGATTTTCTCTCACATGTTTGTGAGTGCATAGAGGTACTTATAGCGTAATAAAGTAGAAAATTACTGTCCGGATATTAAGGAGAACAATGTCGAATTTCCGTTCCCTTCTGTTCATCTACCCCCGGTATTAAAGAAGAAAAGAAAAGGAACACAAGTGCGTCGCGTCGCTGCTAGTTCTTTCCCTGATAGTATACAATTACGCTTAGACGACGGTTTCAACATATTTCTAGAACCAATAAAATGCATGAGAGAAATGAGCCGAACTTGAGAGGTCTGCGGCCTATCCCTTCGCAAAAATCTACTCGGCCCTCTTCAGAGATGTGAAGGGTTTTCCTGATTGGATACTAAGATTTTACTGGGTAAAATTCTCATTTTTTGTGATGAGTCATAAATGGAAAATGACTACTTACTGTTGATTTTTCATCTTTGATGAAAAAATGGCGCTTATTCGTCCATGCTAATTTTATACGTGAGGTCACACACGGTCCTTTCCCCTTGTAACTCACCCGTAACGCAAGCTTCGAACTTCTTCCCCTTTAAGCGTTACGTATTTCATGAGCCTATAATCTCACTGGAAAAAAAGACACATTGGATCTAGAGTCCGACTTTTAAAAACATCGACAAGAAAAAATACTCATGATTCAATCGGATTTTTGCTTAAATAAAGATCCAAGCCTCTTAATTTGAGCGGATTTCCTTTTGATTTAAGCTTAAATCTGATTGAATCAAGAGTCCTTTTTCTTGTCAATGTTTTCAAGAGTCTGGACTCTAGATCCAATGTGTTTTTTTCTTTTCAGTGTATAATCTGCTACCTTCAGCCGGGCTTTCATCAGTTCGCATACAGAAATCAGACAGTTTGAGTTAATTCTAACAGATAATTTCAGAAACACTTTTACTAAATTGAAAGCCAATCGTACCCAAAAGACATGAAGACAAAAACGGGAACGAGGGATCCAGATGAACATTGAAGTAAGCGTGAAGCATTTAAACGGAAACCCAAACTACAAGGGGCAACTATTATTGTTCCTAAGCCGCACACATTGCCTATCAAGATATCGAAGGCGAAAAATGAAGGACAACTTGCGGACACCGGTGCGGTAGGTACGTAATTTTTCTACGCATCGTCCCCTCATGTACACCCACAACATGGATGCGGAGCTTAGTGGTACCAACCGGTGTTGTCAAAACGTCGCTCTTCTGACGTAAGGGCGTATCTCGATTTTCGCATGAGCCCAAGAAAACATACATTTATATGTAAAACAGGGCTCACAAGGGAATCGAGATAAGCTCTTACGTCAGAGTAGCGACGAAAAGGCCCACAACAGTGGCGAAGCGTCAATTTTAATGATCGATCATCGATATTTCCCCATTTGAAGCTATGTTAAAGAATCGATTATTTTGATGTTCGTTGCGAACACCCTGTTCATCGATCCTTTTCTATAGGTTTAAATGGCAGATCAATCGATGTATCGGAAAGCACTCCGCGCGACTGGCCCACGATCCTAGGAACAAACGAGGGATCCCTCCAGCCACCTGACAACGGGGCCGGTAGATTGCGAGTCATTTGTCACTTGTCCCTCGGTCCTGTCGCACTTTTGTCCCTTCCTAACTCGGTGTTTTGTATCTCTCGTCACCCCAACACGCGCCGAAATGAAGGCTTATTCCCATTTAACACTTAATAAACCGCCCAACTTTTCCACAGCTAATCCAATAGCGAGCATTTCCTTTCAGCCGCAAAAATTAGCCTGTCTGATCCCTTTTTTACCGGTATCTTGATTCAATATTGTCATAAAAAGTTTAGCTCTTGGGAAGCAGTTGCTTAATCAGTAAAAATCCCCGGATAAAAATGAATTTTTGGAACCTGGTGAGCGCAAATGATGAAAGCTGTAACTTCCATTCTGCCGTTTAAAAATTTGACAGATTTTTTTAAGTTTTAATAAAAAAAATAAAAAAGCAAGCTGGCGAGCCTCTATTTGCGTACTTCCTTAGGAATTTAGCGCGCATTAGTGAAAAGATATTACAGTAATTTACGCGAGAAGTCATAATCGTTACTCCTTTTGAAAAATTTAAAGATCTGCCGAATATCTAAACAGCTGATTGGAGATTTAAGCTTTTGATCATCGATGCTTCATTTTGACTTGTGTCGGAAAGTACGGATTGTTCGAAAATTTTAGGCACACAGAAAACTTTTATTTGTTTATGTCATACTAACAATTCAGTTACTCTCTTGAACGCTTAAGAATATATTAAAATTTTCTCTGGATGAAAACACCTGCGCAAGAGATTACAGCCGCAGACCATTAGTTAAGCCCAATTTTTTGCTTTAAGTTTCTTTATATTCTTGAAACAACTTGAGAGTGGTGTGGGGATAATATTAAAGAGATGGTTGGCTTCGTTTATTGAAACATGTTAACATTTATTATTCAAATTTGTTAAGTAGACATTGAACTTTCAATAACTATACAAATGAAAAAAGTCAACTAATGATAAAGATAACAACAAACAGTCATTCTTGAATTAGACAGTCTGACTCTTCACAAGAGTGCTGATAATAATGTTATTTGAACTATAAATTTTATGAAAAACAGAATCATGAATCAAAACTTTTGCCCAATACTGGACTAAGATTTTGAGTTGAAGATAGACTGGGCTGCTTACATGCATCCGATCATTTCATATTAAAATTTTGTCCCGAGTTAAAGAGTTCAAAATAAATGATCCGACAAGTTCCGAAGTCTCATGAACCTGAAAACATGATCAGTCTCGATGTTCTCATACATTTTTGGTGCTTTCCAAATGTTTCGTTTTTGATCTTCTTTCTCGGAGGAATCTATGATATAACGCTAATTTTTTTTAAAAGTAATAACCAATTATTTCTTTTTTCGAACGAGCTTGATTTCCCATTTCAAAAATAGGATGGCATTATAAAAATCGAATTATTGCTCATCACTTAATTTTTTGGGAAACACTCAAATTCTAGATTTGAGAAATCATTCCTTTAAATCCGGAGTAATTAAAAAATAAGTAAACAAATAAAAAAAATGATGCTAACATATCTATAAGTTCATTGATACTGTTGAAGCATTATACTACGATATCATTTAAATTTACTATAAAGTCAATGAAGTAGATTTTGTTAGAATTGTGGGTCTACGATATACGATTCTACAAATTTAAAAAAAAAAAAAAAAATCCTTGAAAATCTCAACTAAAATGCTACAAAATGATTTGAAACTTTGCAAGGACAATAATTGAGATCATCTCGCGGATGTCGATACTGAGAGTGGTTTTAGAGGAAATTATCACGCCTTTTTTTGTGAAATAAAAATTGATTATGTTTTCTGAGAATTAAAAACAAATTTCGCCCCTAAAAAACATTTTCCGCTACATTGTTATTCGGCTCAAGTTGGAAATATATTATGTGAGTGTAGTGTGATCTGATGGGCTATTTTAAATTTTTGCTGTTTGCAATGAGCTGTCAAGATACCACCCCGCTCTTAGATCATGCTTTTTATAATTTTCTTTAAAGATGCTGGCTGCGGTATGTGCGGTAGGACATTTTCTCGAATGCAGATTTGCTTCAGCAAAGAAGATAAATTCAAGGGAGCCATTTATCCCTGGACTTTATTAATTCATTCCTAAGTTCTTTAGTGTGCATTCTTAAACTTAAGAGACAGCCCGTATCATTATTTACAATATATACAATTTTCAAGGAAATTTATTGAGTCACTAGATCTTAAGTCAGTAAATTATTAGTCAATCAAAAAGTATATTCTTATCAGAGGTTTGTTTTTCTATTTGTGTTTTACTAACTGTATTTCCAATGCATGCAGTGTGGAAATTTACTTTAAGCTAATTTTTTTTAGAATACTTCTTTTGTGCAACTATTCTCTGAGCGAATCGACCACTTATAGAGTACATATCCAAATATTGACAGCAAGTTTCGTAGGTAAATTACTAAGAAAAGCAAGTAATAATGAGGGAAATATAACTAAAAATACCATGAATACCGAGAGATTCTTCTTAATTGATGACAATAATGAGTAATCAAAACAAGAGAAACTCTCAAAAACTGTCAGCCATCTAATAGCATGAATAGGAAGGGATCTGTTGCAAGCTGATAATTAAGGCTCATATTTTCTCAGGTTATACCATTTAAAAACAGACAGTCAAATATTCAGACAATTTTTTTCCTCCTTTTTCAACAGTGTGTAATAAGTCTAATGTTGCTATTATATCTTTGAATATTAAACAGAGAAAACATTCCCCACGCTTTCATATAAATGCAATTCAGGCTTCAGTAGATGCGTTGATAGAAAAATGAAAATATCCTTTATGAATATTTTGAAAAATGGATTACTTACATTATTTTCTTATTGATATGTTTGAATTTAAGGCAAAACTTTAAAGAATTCTTACGCACTTACAATGTATATAAGAAAAAGAATTTCAATACTTATCGTTTCCCAGCATAATTATCTCAATTACAGTCAAACCTGATTTAAATAGGAAGTTGCGTAGGCAAAAAATACTGATTTGCTACGCTCTTTACTAGGATGATTTTTCGCATTGAGTTAAATTGAAAAATCGAAAACAAAGAAAAAGTTCATGAAAGAGAAAATAAAATGAAATCGGGTTTTTTCTGTCGAATGACAACTTTCGATCACTTTTGATTTTTCTTTCATCGTCCATCCTATTCATATGAATCACCAATTAATATAGAGAAATCAAACGTGACCGCCAGAAAATATCACATCCATTTAATAATACGCGCAAATTAAGGACAATCGATCAATCCTTTTCTTAAAGTATCTTATACACTAAAAAGACGGAGGAAGGTACATTTTCATGCACCTTCTTCGTCAGACTTAAGCTAATGATATGTTTGAGTTACTTGGTTGATCTCCCTTAAAACTAGGCAATTAATTGTAACCTAAACTAAAATATTAACTGACTAAACCTTCATAAAAATAAAACTAAGCACTGAGTAAGAGGCAACTGAAATATTAAAATTTTCTGAATTCTGGTTTCCTTATTTTTCTCTTTTTTGAGCAGGAAAATGAGAGTTTTAGTGGGTCCACGCTTATAGAAGAGGAATTGTCATATTTTTCATCTCTATCCTGCGAGATTGTAATTTATCCAGTCAAGGAAATACGATATATGCTTGGGAACATTGCGGTACAGCATAGTCCACAATCGGAAAAATAACATGGACAAGAAGAGAAGGGGCAAAATTGTAGGATAAAGGGACTTTTATAAATTATAATAAATTCAGAGTTATTACGATATTCTAATAAATATGAAACGAGCATTTGAAAACGCATTTGGTAAATCCAAATTTTGGTATCTTTCATGAACTCTCTGAAATGGAATCAAAGAATCCGCCAGCAAGTGCTCCAGGTTTCTTGATTTTTTGCATTTCCCCCTTTTTCGTTCATTGTTAGTTCTTGATTTCTCGAAAAATAAATGAATAAAAATTTAAAATAAATTATAAATAAATGAATTACAAGAAATGTTTCAAAATTCAGTATCTCTTAAAATAAAATCCTAGATATAAAGGTATTATTGCACAGTTTCAGTTAGTATAAATATAACGTTAAAAAAGAAAAGAATACATAACAAGAAAATATACAAGAGATTAAAGGTGAAGGATCTCTAATCTTATTTACAAAAGAGGAATATTTTTAAAAAAAGACTGTTACAATTTTACAATGTTCATGCCGCTGAAAAGCAAGAAAATTTAAACTGATTTCTATACAGTGATACAGTATATTGATTTCTCGTTCCTTACAAAAAAAGAGAAAACAAAACCTCTCAGAAAATATCTCTTCATTCCATAGTTTATTAGAGAAAACGCCGATTTTTTTGTTTCAAATTGAAGCAATACCCATTGGCTGAACTCAAAAACATGTACTCGATCTTTATGAGTAGAAACATTCATTTTCATGATTATGGCAAAATACTCGTATTTTTGGGAATTTTCTGAAAACCATTGTACGGCTTTTGAGCAACATTGTTTTCACGAATCAGTGATGAAGTGTGTACATTTTGGAAGCTAATGGCAAGTCTCAAAAACGTGCATTTGCAACTGACACAAGACAATTTCACAACGTAACTTTTCTCTCTTTGCAAAGGCATTAAATAACATCATTTCAAGGGAATTTGATTACAGGTGAATATACACAATAGGTTACAGGTCCATAATTTTAGCTTATGGTAAATCTAGGATACATTTTAAAAATTGTACAGGTCATGCGACGCATAACTAACAATAAGCATCAATGAAAGAGTAGCATCAACAAAATATCCGCATACTGGTGGACTTTTAGTCGATACTTATCACAATTCAACGGAGTGAAGATCAACAAAATGAGAAAAAAACACTATTAAAACAATAATACAATATAGAACGAAAATAGAGGAACAGACTCTATGTAAGAAGAGTTAGTACTCGCCAAAATCAAGTTCAGTTTACTTATTCGTTCAGATCACGCGAACGTTTGATCAACAACGTTACCATAGAATTGCACCTAAGGACGATTCACAAGATTTTTATTGACTTGAACTACATTTTGCTATTCGGAACTACAATTTATGGCTCAGTTTAGAAACAACGTATGCACTATTATTTTCCTACGTACATGCGTGTTTTTACGGATGAGCCAGAAATTGTAGTTCCTGTTCACTAAATGGAGTCCATCAGGGATCTAATATTGTCTGAACGGGTTACTACTCGGAGCTTGACTTTCGGTCTCAGCTCGGAAGGGATTTGTGGCGGAGGGTCTACCAATAGGCTCTGTTTGCGTCTGATACACTTCAGCATGCGCCTGGTTGCTTTGATAAGAGGCCGGTTGCCTGTTGTAGCTGTTACCGTCAGGAACCCTTTGGTTATACTGGTTGTACGAGACAGTCGTGTTAGTGTCGAGACTTGTCTCCTGTTCCTCGTAATTGTAGTTACTGGTGTGTTGGAGGTGGTTTTTGTAATCCTCCGTCACAGGTCTCTGATCGTGCATCGTGTACGTCTGATACTGTTTATCGGGAGGATCAGACATTAAAATATTCGCCTCGTTCTCGAATGGCTTGAAGTCGTAAATGTTCCTAAGATACATGAGCACAGGTGCGTAAGCAACATTGGAAATAGCTATAAGGAAGTTTAGTGCGGTGAAACCGATTGCTTCGACTATGTTCCCGGCTATGATAGGGCCGGTGGCGTACGCTAAACAGTAAGATATATCCGCGATTGCGTAGATACTACCGTAGACAGACACGTACCGGACGTCGACGAGATAACCTAGAGTGGGAAGGAGCGCGGTGTCTACCAAAGCTATACCAAAACAAATCCCACAAATGGGCACCATTAGGAATATGTAAGAAGTAGAAAACGGTATCATAAGGCAGCAAAGACCCTCTAGAACTAAGCCGAAGGCCACCATGAGCCATTGGTAGCTGGGGTATTTCTTTGCCATCTTGACGGTTAGGATAACGCCGAAGACGTGAGGGAAGAACGCCGGCAGCCATATCATGCCGATCTTCCACTTGTCGGACGTTAGGTTGTCCTCCATCCACAGAGAGATGGTCGGCTCGAGGAACGCGAGGGCCACGTTGGACATCATCAAGGCCCCCGCGCAGACGGCGATGTACGGGTCGATGAAGAGCCGCCAGATGGGGATCGTCGGCGACTGCTCCGACTTGTCGTGCTCTTTGAGCTGCTCCTTGAGCGGTTTCATGACCAAGAGGAGCATGATCCCATCGGCGAGGCAGACGAAAGCCAAGATGAGGAACGGGATCTCCTTCCCGGCGAATTGGTAGAGAGCTCCGCCGAAAGGTGGCGCCACTAAGCTTCCGAAGCTGATGAACGCTAGGGCGATACCCAGAGCCTGGGATCGCTCGTTCTCTTCGGTGAAGCGATCGGCGATCATGGCTAACCCGGAAGTATCGGCGAAGGCAGAGCCGACGCCTTGTAAACTCCGGGCGAAGAAGAGAACGCCATAGCTCCGACCGCACGCAAAGACGGCTGTCGATAGGAACATTATGCAGAGACCGATCATCATGGGCAGATCGTAGCCAATCCGATCGATAAGCGCGCCTGAAAAGGGGTTGATCATGAGCTGGACGATGGCCTTGGACGCGAAAAGGATACCCGTCGCCGAGTCCTGGCCCTCGTGGCTCCGGTGCAAGGGTTTATGGGGCTCGTAGGTAGGGGGTGTCCCGTTGACCCAGTCCGCCGTCCCCCAGGCCCCGATGTAGCGCAGGTAGTCCGGGATGATAGGCACTATTACCATGTACAACATGTTGTCCAGAAGAAGGGCTATCGACACTATCACCAAGATGAGCTTGCGCTGGGATTTGGGCTCCTGGGACTTCTCCCATAGTATCTCCGTCACCTCGCCGACGGTCAAGTTGAAGGCGGGGATGTTGAGCTTGGAGACGTAGGCCCATGCTATTCGCAGCGGGTTCGTGGGTGACTCCATGGTGAATGGTGGCTCGCGGACTTGTGGTTATCGGTGCATGGTGGGTTGGCCGGTCCGCCTCAGAGCACTAGTGTCGTCCGGGGGTGTCCCTCTCCGCGGGTCGTCCATTCCTCGGGTCCCAACGACTCCTCATCACCTTCAACAAGATACAAACAGACAAAATATTACTGAACTGTTTGGCTCGCAAAAGAGTGCAAACTGAACAATGATGGACACTATTTGTATCTCATCAAAGGTGTGAGCAATTTCAGGTGTGACGCATTTTCAGCTTAACTTTCCACCGTGCCTCAATGACGGATGACAAAATACCTCCGATTCTCGATCGCGGCTCAGCCAGCTTATTTTTGCAAATCATTTTTGAATGTAATCTTCATCTGTATTTATCGTATCAAAAGAATAAATAAAAATGCCGTAAAACAGTCAGACAGTCTAAAAGACTAAAAGAACTCCAGGCATGGAAACTTTCTCGTGTTTTTTTTTTTTTTTTTTTTTTTTTTTTTTTTTAATTTTTTTTTTACTTATATATTTTTAGTTCATACGAGGGTCAGGAAAGACCGACCAGAATCTTATTCTAATGCTGCATATTATTTTCCTCTTTTTCTTATCCTTCTTCTTTCCTTTTCCTTTCTTTTCTTATTCTTTCATCGATTTTTATACTAACAAGAAGAAAAATTCAAGATTCTCCGCCAATTTTTTTTTGACGAAAAGGAAATTGCATGATCGGCTTTAATTATTAAGTTTGTCCTTTTTTTCTCTCATCCTGTTCTTTTAAAACGAAATCTTTTTCTCTAGCGGACTTCGTAGTAGAAATTATTTTCATTCACATATGATGAAAAAATAATCAAGTGGTTATAGGATTATTATGGTAATTTAGGAGTTTAAAAATAGTTTCGATGGCCTCAAGCTGAAAATGCATCACAGTCACAACAAACAATACATGTAAATCAAGTTATGATATCTGAAAAAAAATGCTCCGATGGCACCAATTCCAAAACTAATTCGTGCCCGGCAAAAAAGCAGAGTTTTCCCCCAAGAATTTAGGAAGAAAACCTTACTGTGTCGTTCAAGTTCTTAAAAACACTTAAACGTACATAAAACTGATGTATGTCCCTTTCCCTGTTTTTTTAAAATGAAAAAGTAAAAATACATTTGCATGGTCTGAAAACAATGGAATAGATACAGCAGGTTTTGATTTTCATATTCTTGAATATTTTTCACATACCCACGGTTTGAAATTTTGAATTAGAAGTATTTGAATAGGACTGGTCCAAATTCATGCTGTTTTATACATTCTGACGTTTACAAACAGTACTTTTGCACTTTTCATTAGTCTCAAGGACAGTTAATCCTTTTTTTCTAAGAAAAATCGGAAAACAAACTAGTAAACTAATCATTTTATGTACATTTGAATTGTCCGAAGAGGAGAGAATAAAACATTCGAGCCATCCGGTTAGATAATCCATGGTAAGGTTTGTTTCCGCAGCATTCTCAAATACGGCACTATGCACGGATGATTTAAAATATTTTCCGAGTATATTTTTTTACTGCAAGAAAAAACCGTTTTAAAAATCCATAAGTTGTTCCCCTTTTTTCTCTTCATACAAGTTCCCCAACGGCGTTAACTCAAAATACGTTAATTTTGCAGAGGGAGCTTGTAACTCTGCAAACATTCATTTCCTCTTCGTAGTTTCGTAGTTGGAATTACCAGTGACGAGCAGTGCCGTGGCGTGAAGGATCGATGATCGATATTCCTTCATTTGAAGCTGTAGTAAAGAATCGATTATCGATGTGTTCGTTGCGAACACCTTGATAATCGATCCTCTTCCATAGATTGAAATGACAGATGAATCGATTTATCGGAAAGCACGCCACGCCACTGGCGACGACGAGAGCTTCGCGAAGACTTAGCTCCTTCGGGTGGTGTTAAAAAAAGGCTTCCTTCCTTTATCCTCCTTTGATAGGATTTTAAAATCTAATCAAACCGAAAGTGCAGCTCGGGATGGGCGCGGGGGAGTGGGGGAGCGGCTCAAAGGACCAACTCTTGTAATCTGATATTTGGACTGGTTTTTTAAGATGCCACCCCCGCGACGCGGAGTTCCTTCGTTTCCGCCGCGGAAAAGTAAGTGAAGAAAATGAGACGGAAAATCCCTCCTTGAGAGGGCTTTATGATCCGACAGAGCGTTTTATTGTTGGTTCAACCTCACTTGGGCTTGCCGCATCCGCCCTACAAGTTTGCAACAAGAGGATTCTGTTCCTCAATGAGCGTCTCACTGGCAAAAAACCACGGACTTGACACTGCTCGTTTTTAATGATTAGTGCGGTTATCTCACTTTTCGGTGCAAGAAATTGAGTAGTAAAAAATATTCACCTAATTTTACGAGGAAGCTGTCCTAAAGGCACAGTCAATGGACCACTAGACAAGGTACGAATTTAAGCAATCTGATACATGTTTCGTAACCAGAATTTCACGTAGAACACGATTCACACTACGAAAATTACCGAAATCAACTTCTAATGAAGATATTAACGTTTATATTTCGCACGGATTACAAGGAATTTGAACTGCCCGCTCACAAGAAACTCAAAGCTCTACGTGAGTCAAATCGCGCACTACAACGGTTTCAGCAAGCTTCTCAATCGAGCAATGTTCATTTTCCACCATGTGTTGTTCAAACTATTGGTAATTTGATATAGCTGAGCCAAAGTGTCAAGATTGAAGTTGAAGATTTTTACATCGCAGAGACTGTCATGATAAACATTTAGCGCGCGATGTGAATCACGTAGATCATTGAGTTTTCATGAGCGGGTGGTTTGAATTCACGCATCAATAATCATCAAATATCTTCGTGAGGAGTTGATTTTGGTAAATTTTCGTTGTGCGTATCGTGTTCTACCTGAAATTTTGGTTGAGAAACATGTATCAGAATGCTGAAATTCGTACCTATCTTGTCTAGTGGTCCATTGGACTTCATTTTGCAATCGGGATCTAAAACTCGTGCTCATCCATAAAAACAATCAAGTGCATAGGAAAAATAATGTTACACACTCTGCTATAAATCGAGCCAGATATTTCAGTTCCAGATGGTAAAAAGTAGTCTGATTCTAACCATCCCGCCTTCGTCACTTGAACGCAACTATAGTGGCTCTTCGGTATCCGCCTTTGCCTATCTTATTAATTGAAGGCGAACCCGGTGGCTCCCGGAGAACAGCTTTGTGACTTGGACTTTATTTTGCAATTAGGAACATCAATTTCTAACTCATTCACAAAAGAACTTATCTACATAGGGAGAAAAATTTCACTTACGTCGTTTCTTAAGTGAACTAGCAATAGTAGCTCTTAATTGCAGAATGTAGTCCAATTGTTTTCAGGGGGTGTCTTTTTTTACATGATATTTATCGTGTATCGTGCACCGTGTACGCTGGAACATTTGGACTACATTTTGTAATTAGGAACTATAATTTCTGGCTCAGTTTAGAAACAACCTACGTACCATCAGTTTTCCTATGCACATAAGTATCTTTACAGATGAGCCAGAAATTATAGTTCCGAACTGCTAAATGTAGTCGATTTCACAATGATCAGTTCAGCTTGTGACCTACCCACGTTCATACTTTGAAATGCAAGATAACGACCACCGACGGATATTTGAATTCGCAAAATAAGTAAGCGGATAATATTCGGGGCTGATCGTAAATGTATTTCAAAATTATTCTCAGAAGGGTGATAAAATTGATTGAAAAGCCTTCATAACTGGAGAGCGCGCCGGAAATTCAGGAGGCCGGAGGCGATGTGTCACGTGGGCGGAAGTGAAAATTGATTATTGCATGGTTATTACGCTTTGTAATGAGGTGCTCAGTCGGGGGTCACGAGGCGGGGAGGGCCGGCTCGGGTCAGAGGGTAGGCTGGAAATTGTCACATGGGGCAAATTATTTTGAGTCATACCTGAGCTTATCGCCACCAAATAATACAATAGACATGATTTCAGTTTAACTTTTGCTTCGGTATTTTTTTTTTTAGCATAATCTGATCAATATCTAGGCAAGATTTGGTTTCCGAACTTTACGTAGAGTGGATCATTTTCTACGTAAGATTTTGAAGAAACATCTGACGGTTTTTTCGTATTTAAACATTTTTAAATGGTTAATCATACTTCTTAAAGAACTTTAAGTATCATTTTAGTCAATCTCTCTTCCCCTTCTGCTCCCGTCTCTTTCTCTTTGCTCTTTTAAATTCACAATATTTTTCCTACTTAAAATCATCTGCAAGGGTGCTAAGTCATTTTTTTTTCCTTACCACAAGTCTTCTTAATACATTTTTCCTCTGGTTTTTTGTCACATGACAGTAAAAATTGAAAAAGATATGTTCTTTGGAGCATCTGTACTAATTGTAATTGATACTTGAACATGAGTATAGAGCAGACGGAAAATTGTTGATCAATAGGAGACCACCCCCATTATTTCAACTTATACACATTTTTTACAACCTTCTTTTCTCGACATCTCCCTCGTAAGCCTGACTGTATCGGGACAATAAATGCCAAGGAAATAAGTATTTGAAAAACTTGTAGTAGAATAATTTTTTTTGGAAAAATTCCTTCCCACAAGCTGTAAGTAAGCGTGCAATAAGCAGAGTTACAATTTTTGATGAAAAATAAAATCTTGAAATTTCACGCGAAATATTTCATGGAATTTCAGAAAGTTTGAAATATACCGCCAAACATTTTTCGAAATTAAATGCAAAGTAAAGGAAGGTTAATGGTTTCTACTTCTCGGTATTTTTTACACTGAAANAAAAAAAAAAAAAAAAAAAAAAAAAAAAAAAAAAAAAAAAAAAAAAAAAAACCACATTGGATCTAGAGTCCAGACTCTTAGAAACATCGACAAGAAAAAATAGGTACTTTTGATTCAATTGGATCTAAGCTTAAATCAAGAACCCAGCTTCTTAATTTGAGCGAATGTCCTTTTGATTTAAGCTTAAATCTGATTGAATCAATAGTATTTTTTCTTGTCAACGTTTTCAAGAGTCTGGACTCAAGATCCAATGTGTTATTTTCCAGTGTAGAGTGTATTGCATACCCGATTCATTTTTATCATTCATTTTTATTCCTTTCATATTTTTCACAACTGTATGAATTT